TGGTGCGATAATGAATAAATTCTAGACATCCACTTCCAAAATCAAAAACGACCACGCGTTAGCATCTTTGAGGAGAAGGGTTATGTAATTTTATTTAACGTAATCAGTTCTTGTCTTTGTTGTATCCAGAATACTTGGGTAAAACCAATCTTTATTCATTGATTCTGCATCACTCGCGTGCTCCTTTTTTCTCGTAGTTTACGTCATCATGCAAATTATGCAAGCCAGGAAATGGCGAGAATTCCCTGGAGTCCCCTCGGAAAGAGACCACAGATTGGACTAGATGTCCTTGTACCTATGTTTGAAGCTAAGAAATAACCATATCATACATGTACCTTTGATACAGTAAACATTCGTTGATCATGAACTTTTAAATGTCAAAACGATACTGCACATAAAACAAATTTATACAAATTGAAATATTAAAATCACACGACACAAAAACAGATACATACACATTGCAGCAATCAATTTCTCAGTAGCACAAACAAAAGGTTATCCCCGGAACGAATTATACTTGAAGCGAAGATTGAATACATGCGTACAGTGATACAGTGCGGTACACGTAGAGACTCGTGAAGAAACCATGATAAAAGATTAAATATTGTATTCGCCGTCAACATAGGTCACCTATTGCACATGCGCCCAATAACAATCCTTACAACATGAAACATCTAACAAAAAAGAAAATGTATGCCAGGAGTGGGAATAATGAATACATCAACAATAATATCGATTGTTGAATTCGATGATGATATGCGCATTGTGGATGACGAATATAGAAATCTATAGCCACAACGACAGTAACGGATAGATTACCTCCCGATTACCGCTAACGAATACGAGGGTTATCTTCTCATAAGTATCACATGTGGGTTCGAAAGTCTTTGTGCCCACGAATAATGACACGTAAGATTGGATTGTAGGCTGGACAAAGAACAAGGGTGTTCGGTGGTTTGAAGCTAAGAGAAAAATAAGTGACTCCGCGAAGCTAATGCATGTACTAGAGACGGAACTTCTAAAAAAACGTGAAAATCTACTCAATTTGCGATAAGGTTGGAGTGGCATATCAGGGTATCCCAACACAAAGAAATCTATAGAGAACACGTGATATAATTAAAAATTTTTGATGCTTATGTATTTGCTTCCATGTGTCCTTATCACCGGCTTCGTTTTCATGTGGCTTTGCATCAAAGAGTTAAGATGCTCTTCCAATCTATCCTTTCTCGCGAGTTCTAGGTCCTTATTGTTATCACATAGGATTTTGCATGCAAATTTCGTGCCGCTCTTGGGCCGCGTGTCAACTATCGCTGCAAAGCAAGGTAGCACAAAAGTTCACGTATAGTGTGCCCCATTCGGCCATATATCATAAGAGGCCAATAGCATCCATCATCTAATCTGTCCAATGCGTACATATACGCATACTGACCGTGTGTCCGTCACCAGCACAATAACATAAAGACGATCTCCATTACTCCGGTCTGTGTTTACCGCCACCTCTCCTATCTCGATGAAATTCTCTTGTCACATTACGATAAGAGACTATTTGATATTCTGCATAACTTTGTATAGATAAGATGAAGCTGGTAAATCTCGCGCGAGGCATAATAGTGGTTACCCTTGCGAGTATGCAATTCCTGCCTTTATCATTCTCAATGCGCATGTTCCTCTATCCCGTACCCCCGAGCTTGAACAAAATAGATCCTCTTGACTTAACACTATATTTAGAAGTATATGCGGTGCACCGAACACTTTTTGTTCATGCAGTGCTTATATTTATGCATAACAGGGGAGCATGAGCAAGCAGGTCGGCAAATTCCTGAATCATTCGACAGGTGGTGATATCAGAATACGAGCGGGTCTTAGAATTCCCTTTCGTATGTTTCTGCAAAAGTAGATGGTAAACATGCATGTGATTGCAAGAGCTTTTGGTCATTGTTCTTGTGCAATAGGGGATTAAAAAAAAAAATTTTTTTTTTTCTTCTTCTTCTTCTTCTTCTTTCACACCGCAATAAACTTTAAACGATGAGTCAACAGGCTGTGCTCGAAAAAGTTGGACGAATCAATTCTATATTGCAATTCAAAAGGCACAGGTATGTGTAAATTCACGTGATAATGTATGAACGATCAGGTGCATAGGATCATGTGATATTATGTCGTCATATTATTTCATCGTAAGGTTACTCAGACACCTGCTTAATCACGAGAAATTAATCATTTATTGTTTTTATTGTTTGCTTTTTTAACATTGTGTGAGAAAATGTCCCCTCAATTTCACTGAACATTATTATTATTGACCAGACAAGGATTAACATGAAACTTGTTTCTCAATCCCATTAGCCGTTTTTAATAACCCGTTCCTTCAGGTTTAATATAAACATCTCTTAGTCATGTACGTAACATATGGATATATGCATACTGCGTATAGTAAGTATCTGCCTTATTTTATTATCTAATACAATCACGAAAGATAACAGGTTTACAAAATTTGTTTACAAGAAAAAAAATTTTTTTTTTTTTTTTTTTTTGTTTATTATTTCGTGTAACGGGTTAAATTTCGTAACAAATGCCATGTTGTTCGGGTTGTACGTATATCTTGTCCTTGAGAATTCTACGAACCTCATTAGTTGGTGACCGCTTTGGGAAGTGATGCTTGATCAAAGGCTTGAGTTGAAACATTATTGTTCATGTTAAACCACTCATTCATTATTTCTGCTTGTCATGAAAATGCCTTTTTTTTTAGATAATCTTTTTGTAGATTTAATTCACCACTAAAACTGATTTGGTGCGGCTCTAGATATTTGATTGTCTCTCCGCCAGAGGGATTACAAGTTTTAATACCTGTTTAAATGACGTAATTTGTGGAGGGCAATTGTATTAAGACTAATTGTCAACATTACGACTCACCTTCCGCTGACGCACGCACGCACGTATGTACGTCTCCTCCCTTGAGATCATTTCCAAATCGATATCCTCTTTACCGATCGGTAACTCTATTCTTCCAAATTTGGACTCGGAGTTTTCAAAATCGGTGAATACAACAAATTACCCAGCCAATACGTGATGCGCATCCCGATGATCTACCCTAGCATTGCACCTTACATTTTAAGGCATACACGCAGGTGATTTTTAAAACATATTTGATGGAAATTCTGACATGGAGAAAATTTTAGTAAGCCAGCTGCCTATACTTTGGATGTGGTCAATTAAATAAGAATCAGCGCGCGAAATCTAGTCACGCGAAAAACTTTTCTTTTTAAAAAAAAAAGATTGATACGTTCGTTAAGTGGTAAGGAATAATAGTAGATTTAATAAAACGTGAGAAAAATTCGGATTTTACGCTATCTTTATGGTTAGCGAGATTCTCTGGCGGTGATTTTACACACATTAGTATGCGCGCCTTATGTAAGTGAGTTTGGCGCCCGCATTATGCCGAGTCCCAAAGTTCCATCCGATCTTGACCATATATGTACGTAACTCTAATTACGTTTTGTGGTTTCTTGCAGGCATCTGATCCGATACGTTAAAAAAAAGGGATCGTTAATTTAGTTCATCCATTATTTCATGATGGTTCTCAGTAACCTTTTTTTTTTTTAAGGTAACCATTTTACATTGTGAATTCTCTCTTTTTCTCTTTTTCATTTGGTCAGTGCTGCGTGTAATAGATGATAGTGGTACAGTAGTAATACTGCGTGATGATGTTATTAGAAAGTATCAACCACATGTTTTCGTGACATCCAATGGTAATATCCGAAGAACATGTACCAATCAAAACAACGCAGTGCTTCTTAATATAGATATGTTTATCGAATAAAGGCTGATGTGTGTCCTTGGTGACAAACATTGTACAATGCACTGATCATTTGCCCCTGCAAAAATTTTGAATCACTGCTTACCCTTTGTGAAAAAGTGTGCAAATTTTGGGCAAACCCCCGACACGAATCATGTGGTTTAAGCCATTGGTTTATCAATTCAACGACGACCATTTAGTAATGGCATGGTATGTACTTACGAAATCAATTATTCAGATACCAAGGGAGTAATCGAATGAACATTAATATAGTATAACTATGCGATCATGATCTTGATTAGGCGGACGCGCATTTATTCGCAATAATAATTTGCGATGAGCAAATTGCCGGTGCGCGCATAATTAGCACTTGGTTACGATTAAACAACAAATGAATATCAGTAATGCATGCACTCACGAGCTGTGTTTACGACCTCGCATAGATCCACGTTTTAATTTCATTTTGACGCAGAAACTAACACACAAAGGGTTGGTGACTATGTAGATTTTTTTTTTTTTTTTTTTTTGTCTCACAACCTATTCTAACGGCATCCTTGTATTGCACGCATGTATTCGTTCACGGCGCCTCCTTGTAATCGATCAATTCAATCGACAGTCTCTGGTGGTCGGTCATTTTCAGCCATTCGAGAGATGCGTGCGATTGATTGATTGATTAATCACGGAGAATACATGGCTGTCGTATTAGAGTACCATACTGCGCATGCATTACACACATTACACAGCGCGCAAGATGTTTTTTCTTATTGTGTCATCCTTTTAAACTTTGATTTGAAGTAGATGCACGAAAAATTAAAATAAGGGGTAAGCGAATGGTGAATGCGATATCGCTACCAACTTAAAGTTTTATTTTGCAGAAATCGAGATTCATCATGCACAACCTTAATCGCAATGTTCATAATGTTGAAGATGAGAGGTTTATTCGCGCAAACCTATTGTTTTTCGCAACGAATTCAGTGTACAAGAAATTACGAACGAATGAAAATTTCCGCGTGACTCAACTTCGACCATTGGAACACGTAGATGTGCAGGTGTTCATTCTTCCGCCACCTTAAGTCGTGCAATTCTACAACAAAAAAACCTTATGCATTATGTGACTGACGAAATTAAATGAGATGCACGAAATGAATGAAAGTGTCATTATAAGTATCTTCATTCTTTCTTTGTCAAAACATACGGTAAGTTACCAATAATGTATGTTAACCAACATCTGCCGTGTAATCTCGTACGATTGGCTGCCTTATACAGTATTTCAGGTATTTATACATTTATTGTGTTAAGTATTGTTCTTAAATCCCAACCATTCATACATCCAACCGGTGGGTGGGTAATTATTTCCGACCCCAGAATTGCAACCCCCGAATTGGATGGAAAATCAAGGGGTTCAGAGGCAGTTAACGTCGCACAATTTTATTCGGAAATTTTCTGTGCTAAAATTTCATTAGTCCGCGCTGCATATACAAAATCGGAGCGCCAATAGAGGTCGCCTTCCGTGGTACATTATTATTTGCTGTCGTTATCGCTACTTTAAATGAAATTTACAAAGCACGTCTCGTTTAATTTTATTGCTATTTTTAAAATTATGCATATGTATTGCAACCGTAAAATTAATATTTGTTTATGGTTTTGATTATGTTAAAAAAAAAATTTTTTTATTTTTTGTTTTACGTACTGTATATACAGTAATTAATATTTTCAATTATTATGCAATTCGATGGGTAGAACGTAATAACTGATTTTTTTTTTTTTTATCACCTTAGCGATTAGGTTTAATAAAAATTAAAAAGTGTTAATTTTTTTTTTTTTTTTATGTTGATTGTATGGTGGTTATCATAATCCAATTAGGTTGAATTGGTTGGTTCAAATTATTTGTTTAACTCAACTTTTACTTGAAAGTTTAATGGAGTATCAAAAAAAAAAGTTAATTTATACTGTAGAGATCAATAGTTTCATATTTTAGTAATAACATTAAAACAAAAGATTTTATAATATATACTATACAGTATATAATCAAATCTAATTATGATAATAAAGATTTTATTTAATATCAATCAAAATATATAGTATATTCAAATTACTTTTAATTATAAAACAATCATATTTAAAAATAATTAAATTAAATATTTATATATATATATAGTATATATACATATATATTTTTAACAAGAATTAACAGAAACTCAATAATTGATAAAAAAACTCTTTTCGCTGATCCTCCTTTTTCCTAAAAATTCACTTTTTTGGCAATTGTTTTGAAAAAGCAAACCTGGTCAAACACACAAGAAAAAACAATATATCTTTCAAACCAAGCTATCAAGCTTTAGCAACACACATACAACAAGCCCTTCAGAAACATCAAGAAAAGAGGTATACATTGTTTTACTAATTTTC